AAAGAGAGTCACTAACAGCGCTTAGTATTAATACTGCACCTCGGTGTGTGTCAGACGGTCTTAGAGCACTGGGGCAGATGCTGGCCCTGAATCATGTTTTGCAGGGCTTTCTAGTCCTGTGTCGAGAAACTGCCATACCAGGGCGTAATACACCATAAATGGGACTCCACAGGACACTGGTAGAAGCTGGTGAAGACTATAATATACAGATGACGCCTAATTCCACCACCAGGGAGCCACACAAGACAACATCTGGAGCAGGGGTAGGCAGCCCTGATTCTGCAGTACCAGCATCCAACAGGTTTTCCATCCTACCTGGTCTCCGATGAACCACCCCTGATCTCAGGCAGATAGTAACTCATCAGGTAGGATGGAAAACCTGCTGGATGCTGGCACTCTGGGATCAGGGTTGCCCACCCCTAGTCTGGGTGGTGCTCCTTGCGTGATGGAGGGAACTCCAGGCGGCACTGGAGATGGCCCTGTAAGCCAGCACCAAGGACCTGAACGTGATGCGTGAGCTCCAATAGGAGGCCAGTGAAGAGAGATGAGGAGTACTGTCACATGGCCTGACTCACGGTCACGTGGCCCGACTCACGGTCACGTGGCCCGACTCACGGTCACGTGGCCCGACTCACGGTCACGTGACCCGACTCACGGTCACATGGCCTGACTTACGGTCACATGACCTGACTCAGTGTCGCAGTCTGACTCACAGTCGCAGTCTGACTTGCACTCCCTCCCTGTCCTTCACCCGCTGCCAGGCCTGAGGGGGCAGTCGTATGTGCTGCAGTGGAACCCGTTGGACCGTTAGGGGGGAATGAGGACTGACATACCCATCCCCCACCCCCCATCCCCCACCCCACATTCCAAAATCCTCTCCCTACTGGGAATTTAAATGGTGTCTCTTTAGAAACCGATTCCCAGCTGACATCTGATTTGTTGTTTCCAGGGGAAGCCCCTCCCACACCAGACTCCATCTGCGTTGCCCCCCATGTGCTTAGAATAACAGCAAAGTACTCAGATCCAGCTGACTTGGTGTCATTTTCCATCCAGAGGAAATGAACATAATGTTTTATAAGTAGCAGTTAATTTCGTTACGGTCCTGGCAAACAAGCTGGAACAAAAGTCATAAACGGGCATGCAGCCTATTTAAAAGTTATGGGGTGGGGGGTGGGGGGGCACACCCGACGTTAACTGTGGAGCCTGAGTGTGTGGGCAGCGGGGCCACTCAACAGTAAGAGGTTCATAAAACCACAAGATGTACAGTGGAGTATGGAGGAGTTTGTGGACTGGAGTTCAGAGTGATGTGTTTTTGTGGGGGAGGTCAGGGTTCAGGCTCACCGTGGGCCGTCCCCAGGAGGGTGTGATATCCATAGCATTCAAGAATTATTCATCATTTATGGATTCTTTTAAAAGATACAAACACAAAGATTCTTTAAAGCAGTTCAGAGTTAGACCAAATCATTTCTACACTAATTACATAACAAGAAGATATTTTCAAAAGAAAAAGGTTTGACTGTGGCAAGCTTCGCCACGAGGGTGTCTCTGGCAGTGCATGATGGGATTGACTGATGGTGAGGGTGGCACTCTGGAGGGGGGCACGAGTGATCAGCCGTAAGCCTTTTTAAAGCAGGTTGACTTGGAGGTCTGGGATCTGTCCCAGGACCACTGAAGCTTCCTGTTCACTCCTTATCTGTGTACTGCCTTGTTAACGTGTTCTTATGTGGTAAAACACATTCCTGGGGGAGTGCTGGGGGGGGGCGGTTTTCTGTACATGGACAGCCTAAAACCTGTCAAAGATTTCCTAGACGTATTTGTCCCAACAGTATTTTAAATATCAAGAGAAAATTATATTTGGTGCATTGACATTAAATCAGCTCTTTTTGTGCCTGCTGTACTTTCTAAAGGTTTATTTCTGTTAATTTGTCTGTTGGTTTGAGGCCCTTGGGGGGGGGGGGGCTCTCTCCTGTTATCTTGTCCCTGCTATTGGCCTCTTAAAGAAGATGGTAAACTCTGCAAAAATCACAGATGGCACGTGTCAACAGACAAAAATCTGCGAAGAATGATGAAGAATGTTCTTTCAGAGCTAAAAGAAAAAAAAAAAGCATCCGTTGAAGGTCCAGGGGCCCAAATGGCAGTTAGCCTGTTCTCGCCCAGCAGCAGTCACATGACCGGGGTGGGGCTGGTGCAGGCAGAACCCCAGCGTATCCAGGCCATGTGCCCCCGTTAGCACCAGTGGGTCACATGGCCCACCGCACGCACAGCTGACAGACACTGCTGTTACCATAGTAACCGGCACCAAATGGGGCACCTTCGCTTTGCTCTTTTCGGGTGAAATCCGACTGTCCCTTTCACTGGCGAGCGGACCGGGCCGAACCGGCCCTCTTCGCTTCCCGCTTGCCCCGTCCTCCCTCCCTCAGTATTCCTTTTACGCTGAGCCAAGGCAAAGAGGTGTCGATGAATAGGTTTCCTCAGGATGAATGCCCCCCCCCCTCCCCGCCGCCCCTCCAAATGAGGACCAAGCAGCTTCAGTTTGACGGCATCCATTTGCCCACTGCTGCTTTTCTAATCGAAACTCTTTGAGGACCCAGAATGCCGTTCTCTCTCCCTCCGCTGTTTTTTTTTTCTCACGGGAAGGAGCAGATTCCAGGACATTCCGTCAAAGGCGAGCGTCTGGCCCCAGCTGCTCTCCCGATTTCGGCCCCAACAGAAAGAGCTTTTCTTCCTGCCCCAAAAAGGATGGTCATGCTGAAAATCAGCGTCTTTCATGCTCCCAGCCCCTCTGCCAGGCCCCGGGATGCTCGCGTGGCCCCCACCTCCCCGTTCCTGCCCCTCTGCCAGGCCCCGGGATGCTCGCGTGGCCCCCACCTCCCCGTTCCAGCCCCTCACTCGCGGGAACAGAGACATTTATTAAAAATGAAACCAAACCTGAGCAGGAGTATCTCAGAAGATGGAGCGGGGTGGGGGGTTAAGCAGGAACCCCCCCCCCCGAGACCTCAGGACCCTTCAGCACCTACTCTCGAAAGCAGATACCATCTGTCACGTCAAAGAGCATGATAAAATATCAGATACGTGAGGATCCCGTCCATCCCGTCATGTGGACCTCGTTTGCCCCCAGAAACATGAGTGGGACCACCAGAACCTGCCCCCCCCCCTCAAATATTCATCATTTAACCGCAAACGTCAGTTTAAAACCTCCTTAAGTTCACCTTATGGATAACGTCAGCTGGTCCCATAGCTCATTAAGGCCGCTTGTATATTTTGAACCGAAACATATAACAATAATAAAAACAATAATAAAATAAAAAACAAAAAAGAGGATTTATATACAGACACCATTCAATCAAGTGAGACTAAATTAACTTACCGAGTGAGGAGTACATTTCATTAGGCTGTGGATTCGAAATTAGTGCTAAGAATTTGATTGGTCTTATAATAATGTAATAACACATGTTCAGTATCCAGATGTGGGATTAAAGTTGTTCGCCTGAACTCATCGGCCTGCAGCAGCTGCTCGTTATGGAGCTATAGCCTCGTCAGCGTCTCATATCCAGTGTGTGATTTAGCTTTTGTTCACCCTGATGCCTTCGTCCCCGTAGTGCGGGAAACATGTCTGGTCAGTCTGACCACTGGCACGTTCCATTACATTCGAGCTAGTGTGCGGCAACACCAACGTGGCCACTCTGCTGAGCACAGGATTCGAACCCGTGACCTTCTGATCCAAGGCACAAAGGCCTGGCCCACTGATCCACACAGCACCACACCTGTTACCAATGGCTCTACACTCACAGCTAAATACTGTCCAGCGAGACGTGTTTTCCCATTTATGTATTAAAATCTCACATGTCCATACATGAGCAAAGAAGCATGACCTCACATGACCCCTATTTGATATGATGCATGCTGTCCAGGTGCTTCCCCTGTCCTATCAGATAAATAATAAAAAAGAACCTTACCCCCACCCCCCACCCCCACAGGACTGATGGCTTCTCTGAAATTGCATTCAAAGCTGAGCCAGACATGTGAGGATATTACATGAAAATAGTTCCTGCAAGCGAATCCTCAAAAGGCAGATCTGAGAAAGGGACGTGTCAGTTCCGATTAACCCATAACTCACCCTATAATCCTACAGCCACTGGGATAGCTTATTATTTTGAAAATGAACTGATTGTTTTATCGCCAGAGAAGCACAGAGAAGCATTACAGGAAGTAGGGCAGGTGTGCTGTGAAGGTAGGCTGTGGCAGGCCTCCTGTGCATCCCTTGTTCACCTATCGCCTCACTCCGCCCCCTGCAGGTGGGAAACAGCATGGGAAACATTCAGAGCGGGTTAAATCAGCACCTGGAGCGACTGGACGAGATTTTCGCCACACGCGGTGACTATGTGCAGACGCTGCGCTTCATGCAGCAAATGGCCGACAACATCATCCGGCAACTGGTAGGCCTGCCAGACTGGGAAAACAGCAAGGTGGACCTGGCCGAGGCGGCCGATCATATCGCCCGTGCCGAGTACTACAGGTGAGGGGGAGCACGGGGGCTGGGGGATGTAGGCTTCTCACAGGGAGGAGGCTGCAGATTCCCATAAGGGAGGTGGGCGGGCATCACACAAAGGTGGGAGGGGTGGCACAATTGGGAGGGGAGGTGGGCATGGCATCACACAAAGGTGGGAGGGGTGGTACAATTGGCAGGGGAGGTGGGTGGGGCATCACACAAGGAGGTCCTCCAACTTTCAAGGAAAATTTGGGGGCTGGTGGCAGGTTTGGCCCTCAGGGCACCAGAAAAATCTTCACACTGTTCCATTCCATTGGAGCTGGTGTGGTGCTGAGGTGTCACACGGCTTCACTCAGGCCCTCATCCCTGAGGTGGTTTGTCGTGTGGTATCAGCTCACGCTCCTTACCTCTCTCTCTCCCCACTACCCCACGTTAAAAACTGTCATACATCCTGTCCCTCGATGAGAGTATAGACCGCAGTGTGATGATTGTGATTCTGAGTGAATACAAACCCACCCACCGCCCCTGGCTCTGCTCCTGTGGCCTGGCAACTGAATACAAGCCAGTCGAAGGAGTCACAATGTTTTCACAATGATGACAGCCGTCCTGTGCCATCCAGAGCGAGACACTGGGCCAGAAAGGCTTCCAGTAATGTTTCAGCACCACCTTCCCCAGAAGGGGGCAGTGGCATCGCCTTTGACCCCTAACAGCCAGTGAGAAACATACACATTGTGCATAACTAAGCATCTGACTGGCACTGGCTCCAGGCACCCATGCTGTCATACTCCCTCCTATCCTCTAGGTGGCTCACATACCTAATACTGCTGATCCTGGACCTGGTGATCTGCCTGGTGACCTGCCTGGGATTGGCCAAGCAGTCCCGCTTGCTGCTGACCACGTGAGTGTGCCGTGATTGCCACAGCCGCCCTCTCTCGCCCCCTAGTGGTTCCTGACTTGTGGATTCCTGTGTGGGCATGGTTCTACCCTTCCTCTAGACAGGCTCTGGTTTCCCAAACTGCATGCGCATTGTGGTCTTACCCATCATGGATGGTTTCGGCAGCCTAAAAGAACATTTTAGCAACAGATAAAAATCTAATTTAGGGATTTCTGACCACAGGATGACTTTTGTGTGCACAAACCATGTTGTTTTCTAGTTTTTGTTATAGCTGTGCTTAAAGGTGGTTACGTGTAACCCTTATCCCTACACTGTAAGTTACACTCCAACAGACCAGAACAGAATCCTGGCTTCTCCCCAGTGGTTTGTCATCTGGCTGGACTCCTGTCCACCATTACATTTAGGGACTCGAGTATTACTATTAGAAAAAGGTGAATATGGTATGTAACCAAAAAAAAGATACCTTAGAAGGAAATGTAATGAACTAAGTGGGACATGGATAAATGCTAATCTGGCTGGTGATGCGTCCAGTAAAGACGCAATGTATCTGTAATGTATCTGTAATGTATCTGTAATGTATCTGTGGGGTACAATGCTACGCTACACAAGTAGCTAAACCAGAACTATATTTAGAAGATGTTCAAAAGTGACCGACCATGACATCTATGACATAGTTAAGTAGAACAGATTTTTTTTTTTTGCTAAAATAACTTCCATCTTAAAAGTAAAAGGATAAAAACAAAATACATCAAACAGTAAAATAACTTGGATTGGAGAAGCTAAAACCAGTGTTCATAAAATGTGATAAAACGACCCCCCTTCCCCCCCTTCAGGTGAAACTAAACAGGTAAGAAGTTTGGATCCAGAAAGTACAAATCCAGGCCAAGGTTTAGTTTCAGCCAACCAGTTGAGTATAAAGAGTCACAGTCACAGAATCAGAGTATGCAACTGACTGGTTGAAACAAAATCTTGGTCCGGATTTGTACTTTCTGAACCTGAAATTTTTACCTCTGGATATTAAAAAAAACAAGAGATAATTAAAATAAGACAAGCTTTAAGCAGATCAATCAAGATCAAATGTTATGATAACACTTTACTTGAGGCCATGTTTCTAGTAAAAAAACATTCATAGCAAAGAAAAATGCATTCATAATGCATAATAAGCATGGTTATAAATATTTATCAAAATAATAATAGACATTATAGCCATGTCTATTATACATTATGAATGCTCTATGCAACTCTCCTCTGTAATGCACTATTGATATATATATATAATGCATTATAATGGTCGGTATAAACATTAAGGATGCTTTGTACTGCATTTTATTTATTTTTGTTTTGTATTTGAATTTTAAATGAACCAATAAGAACTGACTCAGCCCTTGAAATTGTGGTAAATGTAGCAACAGCACAGGAAAAAATACAAAGGATATGAACCATATTTTACATAAAATATGATATCTTTAGCATCCAGATGAGATTTGGCTTTGGTTTGAAGGCTTTCCTGCAAAGACACCATGCGGCACGTCCCTCTGCACGAGGGAAAAGCAGAGAACTTCTCTGGGGTGAAGGGATGCTACATTCTTTAGCATTCCGCCAACGAAATAACTTCACTCTTGGCCATGAGCATCCAATCTGCATGGTGGAGTCGTGAGAATGGTGCAGGAGGTCACCTTAATCAAGCGCATTAATAAGCAACGATACGGCATCACATCTTTAAAAAGGTACCCTCGTTATGCTAATGTAGCATTAGCAAACCTTTGAAGGTGTGTGATCGTTTAAAGGGGCCTGATTGGCTGAGCCCCCTTTGGAAGGGAGCGTGTTTAAATGTTTATCGCAGCACCAGTGGGAACAGACCCTGCTACCAACGTATGACAGAGGGACCCAAACACGTATCATCATATCATTATATCATTATATCATATCATTAAATCCAGCCCCTGTGTCCTTTACTGTGCTGTATTTTTGCAGTTTTTAAAGAGAATCCCTCTTTTTATTGTCACTCACGGTCTGTATGTGCGACCGTGGTCCTGCGGGAATGTTTTCTCCTGCCACTGTGTACCTGACTAGGGATGGTATGACAGTGAAGCCCCCTGGAATAAAATTGACTCATTAGGGTGCTTTTCCACTGCACCAGGTACCGTACCTTTGGTTCTCTCCCTTTTCCATTGACTTCCAGTTGAGTACCAATCTCAAAAGTTCCAGTCCCAAGAGTGCCAAACCAGCTGGGGTATTTCATTGGTACTTCAGTGCTTTGGGGTGGGACTTGAAAGGCTTTCTTTGTCGATTGGTTATGCGAATAGCCTGCCGCTGAAACACAATACAAACACCGCAAACGAGCTTAGCGCTGGAGTGCGTGGATGTAGCGTGGGGTGTACAGCACTGGGCCAGAGCACTTGTATGTCACATCGATTTTCAGGAGACAAATCTTTCTGTATATATGTACAGGGAGTCCAACACTGAGTGTGGTGAAGTTATTAAACAGATTAAATCAGCCCAAATAAAAGGAGACCCGTCTAATTACTTTTACTGCAGCTGTACCTGATGCGGAGCAGACCACCAAACTGGTATAATTCTTACTCCTCTTGGTCAAGACCATCAGGGAGAAGTTGTCCTCACACTGGAACTTTTAATCATTCCGGGATCAGAAGAAACTCCTCTGGGAAGTTGTTGATGCCTGTCTGTCTGAAAAGTTACAGAGCTATTTCTGGGATCTTGGGCCTCGCGGTACCATTGTTATGTTGTCCAAACGGAGAATGGGTCAGACATTTGCAGGTAGCAAACGGTGCAGAAAGCCACATAGAATCCGGGAGCTGCAGCTGCAGATCTGCTCAGCGCTCTGACTCCACCATCTGAAAGACATTCTTCAAAAGTGGGACACATGGCAGCAGTCCAGACACTATAAACTGAGGAGAACATCAGTGATCTTCTGAAGGGGGCAAACCACCACCTGTCTGGTCCTCAAGAGTTCTGGGATCATGTTCTGTGGATTTTTGAGTGAAAAATAGAGGCTTTGCTCTACCTTTGACACACAATGTACTTTTCACACACACACACACACACATCATACTCTATCTATGTTTGACTCAGCTGTCCAATGAAGATCATTAAGCTCAGGATAAATTCACTCTATTCCTACAGTAAGAAGCTGAACCCAGCGGTCAGTCACCGCACTGGTATATTATACTTTGTCACGGTGTGGCTCAGAGATTCCCACAATGCCGCAAATAGCTTCTGATTATAGGTACCCCTGGTGAAAATAGTCCCTGTATGTAGGCTCTCACAGATCAGAAAATAGTCTCTTCAGAGATACCTGTGGTCCTAAAAGTAGCTGGTGTCTGTAGGTTATCATGAACCTCATGTCCTATACTAGGGTCCTGTGGAGATTGAAGCTGCGCTGGTGTGTGCAGATCTGCGGGTTTCCCTGCGACGGGCCGCACAGCCCCCTGCTTCTGTCCTGCAGCCCTCAGCCCTCGCGGCTCTGTGGGTTAGGAAGGCTGCCGCGTCGAATCCGGCTGTCGGCAGAGTGACGTCACTGTCGGGCCCCTGAGCGTGGCCCTTAACCCCCAGAGTGACGTCACTGTCGGGCCCCTGAACGTGGCCCTTAACCCCCAGAGTGACGTCACTGTCGGGCCCCTGAACGTGGCCCTTAACCCCCAGAGTGACGTCACTGTCGGGCCCCTGAACGTGGCCCTTAACCCCCAGAGTGACGTCACGGTCAGGCCCCTGAATGTGGCCCTAAAACTCCAGTTGCTCCAGCTGACTTGCTGACCCTGTTTTTGAAAAAAAATGTATGTTTTGGATGAAGTGTCTGTTAAACAGATTAAATGTAAATACATCTGGTCCTGGCTTCTACTCATTTTGCTACTAATTTCAATGGTTGTTCAGCCCCCACGGAGGCGTGACGTTTCTGACCACAGGACCCTCCCCCCCCCCCCCCCCCCCCCCCCCGCCTTCTTTCTCCAGGATGATGGTGTTTGGCGTCCTCACCTTGATCCTCAGCTGGGCCTCGCTAGGAGCCGACCTGGCCACGGCTGTGGTGAGAAACATCGCCCTCCTCAGGGAGGCTAAGTGATGGCACCTAATTCCTGCTGCTCTTCATTTTCTGTGTGTGTCTGTGTGTGTGTGTGGGAGGGGGACCAAAGTGTCCACACTTTCTTACAACACAAGACAAATTGCACCTAATTATTTCAGCTGTTAATTGCCTGTGAGACAGCAGTCAGTGGTAAACATTCACTGTCTGCTCATCAGCCGCCTGGAACTTGACACCCAGAACAGGAAGTGCACCTGACATGTGTGCATGAAAGACAAACAGAGGGGGAGTCTGGTAGCACGGTGGTAAAGAGCTCCATGCTGGAACCATGATGGTCGCTGGTTTGACTCCAGGACCTAATTCGCCAAATGGTATTGAGAGAGGGTAGGATGTATGAGTGTGGGGACTGAATTAAACAAATCAGGTGCCCATCTTGGCCCCCTACTCATTGCTTAGAAATACCCCCAACCCAACTGGCACTGGTCACCTTATATAAATATATATATAAGCCTTGTGTTATGCATATAGCCCCTTATATATGTATATAAAGCCTTGTGTTATGTATTTGACCCCTTATGTATGTATGTAGCCCCTTGTGTTATGCATATAGCCCCTTATATATGTATATAAAGCCTTGTGTTATGTATTTGACCCCTTATGTATGTATATAACCCCTTGTGTTATGTATATAGCCCCTTATGTATGTATGTAGCCCCTTGTGTTATGCATATAGCCCCTT